ATCAATCAAAATCACAAAAAATAGCAAATTAGGCAAAAACTTTAGAAACCGGTAGGGCAATAGCATGACAGCAAACGTAAACAATTTATGTGTTTATGTTGAGAAGATTGGACTTTGATAAGCAGCATGACGACATGTCCAAAAAATATATGATTCAAAGTAGTAATTTCTTTGGAATCTTATAGAAATTGTTTGTTTTTTTTTTTCAATGGAGATATTCCATTAAAAATTCCCAAAGATGTTCAACTTAGAGTTTAATTCGAAAATACCACTAGGTTGGAGAAATCATTGTATTCATCCCGAAGACTAAAGGCGAAAAGTTAAAAGGGAAGAAGAAAAGTAACAGGAGTTTATTGATTAGAGATTTGGAAATCTGGATCAAACAATAAGTGATGGTAGAGTTCATATAACCGGTTGAAATTGTCATCTAAATTCGTCTTGTCTTTTAGTACAGTAGAAGTTTTATTATTCCGCATTAGATCCCCATATTTTTTTTATTTTGCCCCTATTCGGTTTTCCCCCTCAAATTTAAATTACATAAAAATAGCTCCTCATTACAATTAATTTCCTATTGATTCCAGTTAATGTTTGCCATTCAATTATCTATTCTGTTGTTTTGCATTTTTATATTAGTGAAATTTGCAACAACTGTTTGCAATTTCCCGAGCCAAATTTGAATACAAAAGCCTGTAAATTCTCACATACAGCCATCGACCGACCGACAACATTCTTCTCACTTTATAGCGTTGTTTAAAACATTCTGACGTGATCAAGCATTTTTGCTAACGACTTGATTTTTAATTATAGACCAACACCAGAAAAATTAAATTGGAGAGGAAAAATTATTCATTAGCTGATTTGGAAAAATGTCCAAAAGATTTTGTAAATTTCGTTGATAACAGCTTATTTAGGAGAGAGACAGAGATTGGATTTTATGGGGATTAACATTCAATAATCCAGTCGGAGAAAAAATGTTTGAGAGAGGCTAAAATTTTTGCCAGAATTTTAACCGGGGGTTTAAAAACAACCACAAAAAATTTAGAAAAGGAAAGAGGAGCAAAAAGGACGTTATTCGAAACATTTCTTAAACTAATTAATTCAAAAATAGTAACCTAGAATAGGTTGGTGGTGGAATTATAACAGAAAAAGGCTTGAGCGGAATATTTCCATTTTTTCTTCATTCAGGGAAAAAATAAACGACGTCATAGAATACTCAAGAAGAACAACCTAAGAAAATATTATCTTTGCCGAATCGTAATAAATTTAACTACGTCTAGAATTTATCTAAACGAGGTGCGTTGAGAAAGTTACAGAATTTTTCTGGTTCAGAAAAGAGCAAAATATCTTCATATATCTCTTTTTATGGAAGAGTCGAAGGTCTTTCTATGGAAAAGACGATTTTTTTTCCAAAAAAGACAGAAGTCCAAATGGTCTTCTAATGGAAGGACCGAAGTCCTTCACATAAGTTCTTCTCATAGAAGACCAGAAGGTCTTCTCATAGAAGACAAGGAGGTCTTCTCATAGAAGACAAGGAGGTCTTCTCATAGAAGACGAGGAGGTCTTCTCATAGAAGACGAGGAGGTCTTCTCATAGAAGACCAATTTCTTCATTATTTTCTTATTTATTTCGGAAATGTCGTATTATCCTTACAGTGTTTCCATAATTATCCACATTGTCGAAGGACATCCATTTTTCTCAACATGCGGCGAAACTATTATCCTTTTATTTGATGGGAGGTGGTCTATAATCCTCGACAAAATGTTCTTAAAACTAAACAACAGCAGGATCGGTCAACACCATTAACAAATTATTTCGTTTTTTTTTCGAGAAGCAATTGTATCCTTTTTTCTGGTGTCTGTAACTGCAAAATGTTATTTTATGCTTAGTTTTTGAATCCTTGGAGATTATTTAATGTTTAAAACTAATTCATAAAATATTCAAAATATTTTTTTTATATATTTTTTTTCAATTCAATCACGTATAATTTTTTTTTTCTTTCCAAAGGACATTGTTGCATTTCAAGACGCATTTGTTTTTGTTTGTTTTTCAAGTTTTTTTTTTCCTTTTTTGATATCTTTTTATTGTTGCTTTTCGTTTTTATTTTTTTTTTTTATTTTATATTAATTATTATTATTTTTTTGTTAATTGTTATTTCAAATATTTTAATTTTAGTTTATTTTTTATTGTTTTTTTTTCTTCTACATTTCTAAATGTGATGACCGCCGCCGTTTTGGTTTTTTTTTGCCTCAATTTTTTCGAAACTTGACCCGTACGAACTTTTCGCCACGACGTTGAACATTGAAATATTCCAAAGCGTTTTTCCACTCGCTTTGCATTCGAGGAGAGATGCGACAAAAGTTCGAACATAACGTTTATTTTTCGTCGGACTTTTTTTTTTTTGTTTTTTGATTTCGTTACTTAGTTTTATTTTTTGAGAAAAATCAACGGCTATTTTTTGTCGGTAGATCTGTTCTGTATCTCTGTCCGTCCATCCGTCTCCATGTATTCATCCATCCATTGGCTATGTGTCTGCTCGGAGAAGAGCAGAAGGTCTGCTCAGAGAATGTCTGCTCATAGTAGAGCCGAAGGTCTTCTCATAGAAGACGATGAGGTCTTCTCATAGAAGACGAGGAGGTCTTCTCATAGAAGACGAGGAGGTCTTCTCATAGAAGACGAGGAGGTCTTCTCATAGAAGACCAGGTGGTGGTCTTCTCATAGAAGAGCTGGAGGTCTTCTCATAGAAGAGCTGGAGGTCTTCCCATAGAAGAGCTGGAGGTCTTCCCATAGAAGAGCTGGAGGTCTTCTCATAGAAGAGCTGGAGGTCTTCTCATAGAAGAGGGAGGTCTTCTCATAGAAGAGCTGGAGGTTTCTCATAGAAGAGCTGGAGGTCTTCTCATAGAAGAGCTGGAGGTCTTCTCATAGAAGAGCTGGAGGTCTTCTCATAGAAGAGGCTGGAGGTCTCTCATAGAAGAGCTGGAGGTTTCTCATAGAAGAGCTGGAGGTCTTCTCATAGAAGAGCTGGAGGTCTTCTCATAGAAGAGCTGGAGGTCTTCTCATAGAAGAGCTGGAGGTCTCTCATAGAAGAGCTGGAGGTACTTCTCATAGAAGAGCTGGAGGTCTTCTCATAGAAGAGCTGGAGGTCTTCTCATAGAAGCGCTGGAGGTCTTCTCATAGAAGAGCTGGAGGTCTTCTCATAGAAGAGCTGGAGGTCTTCTCTCATAGAAGAGCTGGAGGTCTTCTCATAGAAGAGCTGGAGGTCTTCTCATAGAAGAGCTGGAGGTCTCTCATAGAAGAGCTGGAGGTCTTCTCATAGAAGAGCTGGAGGTCTTCTCATAGAAGAGCTGGAGGTCTTCTCATAGAAGAGCTGGAGGTCTTCTCATAGAAGAGCTGGAGGTCTTCTCATAGAAGAGCTGGAGGTCTTCTCATAGAAGAGCTGGAGGTCTTCTCATAGAAGAGCTGGAGGTCTTCTCATAGAAGAGCTGGAGGTCTTCTCATAGAAGAGCTGGAGGTCTTCTCATAGAAGAGCTGGAGGTCTTCTCATAGAAGAGCTGGAGGTCTTCTCATAGAAGAGCTGGAGGGTCTTCTCATAGAAGAGCTGGAGGTCTTCTCATAGAAGAGCTGGAGGTCTTCTCATAGAAGAGCTGGAGGTCGTCTCATAGAAGAGCTGGAGGTCTTCTCATAGAAGAGCTGGAGGTCTTCTCATAGAAGAGCTGGAGGTCTTCTCATAGAAGAACTGGAGGTCTTCTCATAGAAGAGCTGAAGGAGGTCTTTGCATAGAAGACCAGAAGGACTTCGCATAGAAGACCAGTAGGTCTTCGCATAGAAGACCAGTAGGTCTTCGCATCTTCTCCAAGTCATAGAAGACGAGGAGGTCTTCTCCAAGAAGACCAGAAGGTTAGATAGAAGGCCAGAAGGTCTCCGCCAAGAAGACCAGAACGTCTTCTCCAAGAAGACCAGAAGGCCTTCTCCAAGAAGACTAGAAGGTCTTCTCCAAGAAGGCCATAGAAGATCCCAACTTTTTATTTTTGTAGAACACCATCTGGTCTTCCAGACGAAGGAATAATGCCAAACCCGGGCCTCGCATAGTCTCTTGCATTCGGAATAAATTACAAATAACAGATGGACGACGGCAGCGTTTGGAACTAATGTATATACTAAATTCATCAATCACAACAACATCAGCAGCAATAACAACAACAACAATATCAGTATGATCATCAACGGCAACAACAATGACGACAAAACAACAAAACGACATACAATGGTTTTGTGATCAGATCTGTAAAACGGACGCATGGATGTGAGGGCGGACCAACAACAACAAACCGATCACATAGCCAATGGATGGATGAATACATGGAGACGGATGGACGGACAGAGATACAGAACAGATCTACCGACAAAAAATAGCCGTTGATTTTTCTCAAAAAATAAAACTAAGTAACGAAATCAAAAAACAAAAAAAAAAAAGTCCGACGAAAAATAAACGTTATGTTCGAACTTTTGTCGCATCTCTCCTCGAATGCAAAGCGAGTGGAAAAACGCTTTGGAATATTTCAATGTTCAACGTCGTGGCGAAAAGTTCGTACGGGTCAAGTTTCGAAAAAATTGAGGCAAAAAAAAACCAAAACGGCGGCGGTCATCACATTTAGAAATGTAGAAGAAAAAAAAACAATAAAAAATAAACTAAAATTAAAATATTTGAAATAACAATTAACAAAAAAATAATAATAATTAATATAAAATAAAAAAAAAAAATAAAAACGAAAAGCAACAATAAAAAGATATCAAAAAAGGAAAAAAAAAACTTGAAAAACAAACAAAAACAAATGCGTCTTGAAATGCAACAATGTCCTTTGGAAAGAAAAAAAAAATTATACGTGATTGAATTGAAAAAAAATATATAAAAAAAATATTTTGAATATTTTATGAATTAGTTTTAAACATTAAATAATCTCCAAGGATTCAAAAACTAAGCATAAAATAACATTTTGCAGTTACAGACACCAGAAAAAAGGATACAATTGCTTCTCGAAAAAAAAACGAAATAATTTGTTAATGGTGTTGACCGATCCTGCTGTTGTTTAGTTTTAAGAACATTTTGTCGAGGATTATAGACCACCTCCCATCAAATAAAAGGATAATAGTTTCGCCGCATGTTGAGAAAAATGGATGTCCTTCGACAATGTGGATAATTATGGAAACACTGTAAGGATAATACGACATTTCCGAAATAAATAAGAAAATAATGAAGAAATTGGGAAACCTTACTCATCTCTAAAAAAAATCAGGATATGTAGAGATGAGTTCAGGTTGGAGTATATTAACATAAATTTAAGGAGCAAATTGTAATCTAAAGGATTGAAACAAAAAATTGAAATATGACTGCCAATAATTCCAACATTTTATTGAGAATAAATTCGGTTTTTCGAATGTCAGAAAAAGCGATCTTTGGATATTTAAAAATTTTGAAATTTGAATTCTATGGAGGTACAAAATCAGGCTTAATTTCATTATTGTTTTGTTCTTTCTAAAAACAGCGTTTGTTCATTAGTAAAGAAATATGGTAATGTTTACCAGGGGGTAGGGCAGGGAATACCTAGGTTTCGGAAAGAACTACCAATCCTCTTCAGTTTCTTTGTTTTTTTTTTTGTCTGGAATATCCTCCCCAGGATTTTTTTACCCAAGTGACGAGATCGTAAGCTCAATAGAAGGATCCGAAAGAATTTTAATTTAATTTGATTCTATATTTCCTCTTCTATCGGTAGCAGTATTCAAATGTATTTTTTTATAAAAAAATTCCAAAGTACTTGAAAAAAAAAAATATTTTTTAACATCCATAAAAAGAATTGTTTTTTTTTTGCAAGGAGCCCTTAAAAAATTGTTTTTAAAAATCCCCGAATCTTGTTCAGCAATTCCCTGATATTTTTTTAAAAGCCGCGATTTTAAAAATCTTTGGCAAAAAATCCTAAAATGATTTGTTGGACGGAAGTCCTTGGAAAATATCACATTTTTTTTCAGGGAATCTTACATTTATCCGACAAATAAGTCTTTAAAAATATTTTTAGGAAAACCTTAAAACAATTATTTGTAAAAATAGGTTTTTTTTGTTCAGGAATCCGTTGGAAGATCGTTGACATAAAGCCACAATTCTTGGCCAAGTGAGCCTTCAATAAAATGTAATCATTTAGGATAGGATTCTTTAATATTTCGTGAAAACAAAAATTATAAAAAAACACATAATTTTATCGGGATGGTCCGATCTCTACTATCTTTATAAAAGATCTTGTGTTGATAGACATATTGAGATGTGCCAATTCTGAATCGAATCGGATTTTAATTTCGGGTTTTATGAGCTTCATGGATACTCAACATTTTGAGCCTTTGTGGGTGGAGATACCAGAAAGAGTGCACCGATACATTCCATCTTCACACCAGACCTTGGGCTAATAAAAATATTGCAATGTGTGTAATTTTAAGACAATCGTATTCTTACATTACATTTTATAATAGATATAATTATTCAAAATGTTGGCCCTTTTGTGGTATTGTCAATTTTCGCACCTGACCTAGCATCGATGCAAATATTGGGATTTACAAAGTTGGAGGAAAATCGGATTATCTTTTCTTCTTCTGTGCAGAAAATTATATGAAAATCTTGACATTTTGTGGTAGAGGTACCAGATGGAGTGCACTGGTATTGCTCATCTCTGAACTCGATCTAAGTTTTGATCAAATCGGATACTGCCTTCGATCGATCGGATATCGTGTGCACCAACCAGACGGACGGACATTGCTAGATCTACGCGAAATGCCCTTAAACCGATTTGGTCCAAAGATATGTGGAGTCTAAAACCTTTATTTCGATGAGGCACGTTTTGGCAGTATCAAATGATATATACCCTCTGTAGACATATGGCTGAGGGTATTAAAACCCACGTCTTTACCTAATATTCTTAAAAAATATTCTACTATAGTCTGCCAAGTCTTTAAAAAATATTTTTAAAAATTTAAGAACCCCGTTTGTTTTATTGTTTTTTTTTTTTTATTTTTAATCCAGGACTTTTGTCAGGCAAGTGGTTGCAATTTCCATTTTTTTTTTTTGGAACACTACTTTTTCAATATGCCTATAAGATCCTTAAAATTCCTGAAAAAAAAATAGAAGTTTTTTGATGAGAAGTCTTTGGAAAAAATATTTTTAAGAATCCACGATTCTTGTTCAGGAATCCGTTGAAAACTATTTTTTAATAAAAATCTGGGTTTTTGGGAAATGTGGCCTTTCATAAAAACTAAGAATATTGGCATGGAATTCCCAGAAAAAATATTCCCAATCTTGGCATCAGGTCAAAATTGGACAAACATATTAAGATGCGAATAATTTGACCAAAACCGATAACTTATTCGTATAAAACGTGATTACCGGTTCTTGAAAAAAATGACCTTACAAAAGAAACACGCTTTCTGTTAAAAAAACATGACCTTAATATGATCACTTTTAAACTTTTCAACACCAAAAGTCCCCTACACGAAAGTCGACTTAGGCACCCCTATTGTAAACCTACATCTAAATTCATGGCGGTTGTGCACATTCCCATCTTTTGATAAATTTCTTTTTCGATTGAAGAGCCTTTTTATACCCTCCACCTTGGAAAGGAGGGTATATTAACTTTGTCATTCCGTTTGTAACATCCCTAAATATTCGTTTTAGACCCCATAAAGTATATATATTCATAATCAGCATAAAATTCTAAGTCGATTTAACGATGTCCGTCTGTCTGTCTGTCTGTTGAAATCACGATACAGCCCACATTATTTGACGTAGAGCTCCAAAATTTAGCAGAGCTATTTGCATTGTGTCTAGGATGGTTGGTATTGAAAATGAGATATATCGGTCCACGTTCTGGTATAGTCCCCATATAACGGTACCTCCCGATATTCGGTATTTTGATGATTTATGCCACATTTTTTCACGGATTTGTCTTAAAATTGGTATTTGTAGGTCATAGCGGGTCCCTGAGCGTGTGGCAAAACATTGCATGTATAGGTCCACGTTGTGGTATAGCCCCCATATAAAGGTACCTCCCGATATTTAGTATTTTAGTTTTTTTTACCACATTTTTTCATGGTTTCCAGCTCCGGTGGCGAAACATTGTAATTATAGGTCCACGTTTTGGTATAGCCCCCATATAACGGTACCTCCCGATATTCGGTAATTTGATGATTTTTGCCACATTTTTTCAGGGATTTGTTCGAAAATTGGTATTTGTTGGTCATAATTGGTTCCAGCTTCGGTGGCGAAACATTGCATGCATGGGTCCATGATTTGATATAGCCCCCATATAACGGTACCTCCCGATATTCGGTATTTTGATGGTTTTTGCCACATTTTTTCACTGATTTGTCTAAAAATTGGTATTTGTGGGTCATAATGGGTTCCAGCTCCGGTGGCGAAACATTGTAATTATAGGTCCACGTTTTGGTATAGCCCCCATATAACGGTACCTCCCCATAATCGGCATTTTAATGGTTTTTGCCACATTTCTTCTAATGTTTCTTTTACCCTAAGGTGGAGGGTATTAAAAGTTTGGCCCGGCCGAACTTAATGTTTTTTTACTTGTTTTAATGTGAAATTGCAAATTAATTTGCGACAATGTATTGGCCTCAGAATATGGAAAGGCACATAAAAACTTTTTTTTTAATTTGAACTTTTTTGTTTCTTACAGTCCAACTTAATTTCATAAATGTCCCATTTTTCTCAAATTAATCATTATTGTATGGTGTAAACAATCTACGATTAATAATCATTAATAAACAAGAATTTCAAATCATAAAAGTCAATTAAGCGCAAACATTTGTTGACATGTGAAGCTAATTTACAATTGCCAATAAACATTAATGACAACTTTGTTTGGCTTAGGGCTAGAAATTAATTGGTACCTTTCGGCAAAATTAAAAAAAACCCACGCATCTTAATTGTGTTTATCTATTAACAGGCAAAAAAATAATACAAATATATAATATAAAATGTTCTCCCGGAAACTGTTCTTACAAAGATCGCTAAGGAAGAGAACAGGAGAGGAAAAAAAGTCAATTTGAAAAACATGAGAATTACATTTTTTGTCCTAAAAATAGAGCCAATCATAAATGTCAGCGGGAAATTCTCTTCCCACGGAAAGCATTTTTCTCCTCAATCCTCAAATCATGAATATTAGATTAGAAATAATTTGTGAATATGGCAACACTAATGTGTCACATTCGTACCTTGTGTATCCTATTTCTTGTGCAAAGTGGTGCAAATTTGAAGATCTTTTCTTTTTAATAAAAATTAAGTAATTTATACCAACTAATTTTCGATATTAGGATTCGATTACATGTTTTGGATGTTGATAAGAGTGTGACTTGACATAACGTTTTAAATATCTGCACGATATTCCTCCAATCATGAACATAATTTAGTAGAAACAACTTGCGAATATGACAATGCTAATTGGTCTTTTTTCGTACCTTGAGTATCCTACTTTTTTGTGCAAATTTGAAGAGCTTTTGTTTTTAATTGAAATTGTGCTCCAACTAATGTTCAAGATTAGGATTCGATTATATTTGTTAGATGTTGATATGTCTCGGGAACAGTACAGCAGCAAAGTTCAAATATGTAATACCCGCCCGAAATTCTATTCCCATGGACAGCCTTTATATCACGACAGATCCTTCCTCCATTTTCATGATTATAAATAAAAGAGAAAAACATTCTTTGTTGTTGCAAAAAAAAAAAAATGTGAAACGCTTCAAAAATTAGCGATCCAATATTTACATCACCTTGACACGTTGTATAATATTTATATCAGTCTTAGGTTATATAAGAATTGGTCAATATTGGCCAAGTGTTTAGGAACCTCCTCCGTAAAGGGTCAACAGTTTAAATAATTATAACTCAAGGCTGGGGGTATACATCTGTCGGCAAAACCGACTGACACTATTTTAATTGTTTTAATTTAATTTTTAATTTTCATAAAAACAAAAGGATTTGAAATTTCCAACAATTAGAGCAACAAATAGGATACACAAGATACGAAAAAGAGCCATTCGCGTTGCCATCTTCGAAAATACTGTTTCTCTTCAATTATTCATGACTCGAGGAATTATCTCTCGGGACATATGCTTTTCATGGGTGTAGAATTCCGCTCGGATATTCATGATTGGGCTGATTG